GGTTGTTTAGCACTCCCCAGTGTGGAAGCATGTCTACATCTATCACTACCGTGTTACCATTCTCTCCGCTCTCTGTAGTTCTTCTGTAAAGAATTTTCAGTGCGACATTCCATCAAATGCTTTTTTGTAAATCCATAGAGACTGGGCCTAATGCATTACCCTTGTCGAAGAAGTGATTCATCTTGTGGAAAGATTTACCTTTAACAAAACCCTACCTTTGATAAAACCCATTTGTTGCCATGTACTGAGTGCTTTCCCTGAAAACTGTCCTAAGGTGGCTGGGTCAAGTGGCCTGTATCATTTTTTTCCAGTCTTCTTTGAATACAGCAGATTCTTGCTACTAAACCCGCATTTTCATGTGCCAATTATTTCAGCATCCTCAGATGGAGATTATCCAGGTCCCTTAGGTTCAGTTCCTCTGTCGCTGGAAATTTTATCTTTAATATAGAGCTCTACCTCCTCAATTTTCCTTCCTAAACAATTTATAACTAGCAATTTTTACATTCCAGTCATGCGAATAAACCCACCAGGCTTCAGTCATGCCAATTATATTATATTTCTCATAATCCAGCAAGAATTCCCAACTCCTCTTGCTTTTAATTATATACTCACAAGGTGCTTTTCCCCAGTCCCTCTCTCTGGACAACCGCCTACGGTGAATCACATAGGCTCATTATCATGTGGTGGCAGGAGTGGAGAGTGATGCAGTACTGCTCTGGATCTGTGAAAGTGTATGGCAAGTTCATGTCTTTATATGTTACAGATTTATTCATTTCTGCAGGATATACCTCTCCCGTTCTCTGGCTCCTTCTCAAATGTGCATTTAATGTCCATATTTATGGCCCATTTTGATGCATCCTTACACACCATCTAAGTTCCACTCTACCATTTACTCCTTAAAGAGTGCTAAGAAATATGTGGTACAGAGCATACAAAGAGCTACAGACCCCTTGCCCTCAAAATATAATTCCAAGAATACAAAATAAGTCTATGCATACCCATTCCTGACCTCTCTGACTTCTATGGAGCATGGTGAGCAACATGGAAAGGCTTGTTGTTTATTTAATGGGACAGTACTCTTAAAAGGCACCTAGGCAGCTGCTTTTCCCTCTGAATGTGGATGCTATTGCTGAGATTTAGTTCATTAGTAACTAAAACAAGATCTGAGTTCATGGTTTTTTTCTATTAAAATCAAAGCAAACACACTATTGAGCAAAATTGGCTAACTTGTTATTGCTTCCTAGCTCTCAAACTCCTCTACCTGTCAGGATAAGCTATGCCACCTTACCTACTTCATGTGTTAAATTTTTCATGGCATGTATGTCCTTGAGTCACGGGAGCTACCAGCTAGTTTACCACTGCTGCTATTAGCACATCCCTTGTCTGGTATCTTGTGAGGTGCCCTGTACTGACACAAGCACAGACCCAGACTGCAGGTGTGAAATAGATATGCACTCAAAGTCATATTCAAAAAGAAATGAAATGTTAGAGAGCTCAGCTCTGAGATGCCCGGCCATAGTCAAGGAATTCATCGCCCAGGAGGAGACACCAAGCGCCCTGTGCAGCCTGTGAGTGCAGAACAGGACTCGTGACCAGCACGAGTGCGGAGCTCATAGGGTGTGCTTAACTTCATCCCCTTCTGGAGATTAGGTGCATTGCTCTTACAGAAGGTACCTCCACCCATGTGGAATCCAAAGCATTGAACCCACTCTGAGAAAGAGAGCCTTCATCCTCTTTTTGGTAGACTGGGATTCAGCATACTTTTGAGTCAGAAATTGTGCTAAATAATTACAGGACTCACCCACCAATGAAATATATATGCTCAAGTCCCTCTATTCCCAAAGGGGATTCACGATTATATTTCTCAGGTGCTAAAAGCTTTTTGGATTTTTTAGCCATCCTAGACATGCTGGAGATAAAAATAAACTCTAGCTTCACAAATTATTTCAGAAATAATCACAGCATTCAATCTCTGTTAGAGATGTCAGTGAAAATAGAAACCTGCAACAAGATGAGGGCCTGCCTCACTAATCTCTGTACAGAGAGTGTGTGGCATGCTTTTTGCACCTCTAGCTCTGGAATCTAAATGGACATTTCAGATAAACGGTGGGAGGAGAAGACACACAAAAATTGTGTTTGATTGCAGCCTAAATGTCATTTTAAGGTGTGACTGAGTCCCAGCCCCTCCAGCCACCTGGAAGCCCTGCAATCCTGTCCCGTGCAGTATCAACCTTCTGGGAAGTGGTCCTGTTGTGTCTGCACTACAAGATCTGCTGTGTTGCAGCTGCAGCAGTGCAGAGAGCAGAAAGTTTTGACAGTACCGTGACTGTACGGAGAGAGAAATCAAAAGCCTGGTGGCTAGATGAGGAATGTGGCTCACAGCTGGGAAGGTTAGGAGTCTCTGGAGCATTTTGACATCATCACAACCACAGAGAGCATTACTGGCATTCATGTGTTCCTGGTGGGATTCATGTTGCTTAGTTTCAGACATTGGCAGCGAGGAATCAGGGACAGGTCAGGAGCTGTAGGAATTGTGCTGACGATAGGCTGTGGCCATATGTTCTGCTGAGAGAGGTGTGAGGCTATGGAGTGGCCACTGAAAAGACTTTGCCTGGAGGAAGGCTGTTGTTGCAGTCATTTTCAGTATGCTATTGGTAAAGCTTTAAGAAAGGTGTTACTGAAAGTATGGAGTGCATTCAAGCTAGTGCTTTTGACTAATTTAATACATTACTGTCTGCGTGTTTAGTGGTATTTTCTTGACGTTCTCCTGGCATCCTAAGGTGTTTATTAACAACATGGTGACTGTATGACTTGTGATACCTACAGGACTGTGGTCAGCAAGTGTGCTGTGGACAGTGCAATGAGCCTAAGGGATTGATCACCCACAGATGTATCGAGCGTTGCGGGTGTGTGTGTAAGCATGATCACAGTGCTGCTGGATTGGGGCTGGCTGGTGCCTCACTGCCCTGGAGCTCAGATAAAATGACCACCAGTCAGGCTGCAAAAGGCCATGACAACATAGTGACAGTCTGGTATTGCAAATCAGTAAGTCTGGATGAAGACCTTTCATGGTTATTTTATGTCGACCCTCTTAGGGACAACTTTAGACCCATGTCCATTACACCATTCCTGTCCTGACCAGAAAAAACTATGGTAAATCCTGAACGAGGCAGCTGTCTGTCTAAGCCAATATATCCCTGTACCTGGCCAGATTCTTTCTAAAGTTTGGTCACTCCTGGTCTGTTAACTGAAGAGTACTTTTCACCAAGTTAGTGTTTCAAACAAAAGGAAACACACCGGCGGTGTGGGGAGGGGAGATACAACCCTCTCTCTCCTGCTTTCACCATAACTTTCTAAAGCTGGCTTCCAGCTATCTCCTGAAATCACCCACTACAGCACAGCTTTGTTTACCCAGTACAGAATAGATCGCTGTATTTCTCTTCTCCCACAGATAACTCAGTTTTCTGAGTGGGCTAGAGTCACACAGTTACAAGTTATCTCACACATAAATCTTGGCTTGGAAAGCTTTCAATATCTGCCAGAAATGTGGGCAAGCTTGATTGTCCCAATCCCAGCTAAGACGCTCAAAAAGTCAGAGAGTCTTAAGCTGCTCACTCAGGCTGCTGTGGCCTAAGTTTATTTCCAAATCAGTAAGACAAATCATCTTTTTTCTATACTTTTTTCTAACATCAAGAGGGTTACTTAGGTGCACTCATTTCAGGATGGAGCTGTTTATTGACAGTCCCAAGGCTGGAGTTCATGAACTTTCCTTTTCATACATTGAACTGAATTTTAATGACCAAGTAGTTCTTGAAGCACTATCCTCAAAAATACCAGTGAGTATACACAGCACCTTGGGATGCAATGGACTGTGAGCTGCTCTGCAAGTTTGCTCCACTTCATAGTACGTTCTTACAGAGCAGTTTTACCAAGAGCCCATAAACTTCCCATTATTGGGGAGGTTGTGTCCTCAGAGACACAACATGTAGGATGATTAACTGTTCCTGTCTTCCAACAGTGGTGAAGGACCAACTCCCCAGTCTACTCCTTGGGCAATGGCAGGATAGCATGGAAACAGCCCAGCAAGCAGGAATCAGCATCCATGAGCCATCATTGTCCCTCTTATACCGTGTCACATTTGTAAACTTTATTTTCCAGTCACATAATCTAGAAAAAACCTCTTTCAAAAGCAGTTTGGATGTTAGCTCTACCAGACAGCTCTGGGAGAAGGGACTGCCAGTTTGCATCCGTTGAGACTTAAACCAGTCCCATGGCTGCTACCTTCCATCCACCCTCCAGTGTTCTATTTCTTGGTAAGTGCCAGGGTACAGCAGAGGAAATGAATGCACTGATAAGCTGGAGAGATGTCTTCTCGAGCGATTCTCAGCAAGTAAATGGCTGAGCAGAGAACAGAAATGAGCTTTCTTGTGCCCAGTTGTGCCCTTTAACTGCCATTTCTCTACTCTACTCCAATAAACATACAACCCAGCCACCAGGAAGGGTTTGTGGGCGGTCATTTACTTAAGGGATGCCAGAAAAGAGGAAGTCTAGGCTATAGCCTGATGAAAACTGTGACCTTTGTGCTTTCCCTGTCATTCAGACCACTGCCCTGGGGGTTATTCTGGGGGCAATTACAATTAGATGTCAGAACCTCCTTAACAATTACCAGCCGCTGTCTTTTGTGTGCTCCATGGAGCAGCTCCCAGACGGGAAGCACTGACCAGTCCCCGGCTGCAGTGCCCATGAGGGTAGCACATATTGCTTATCAGAGGTTCAGCTGGCTTTAGAGAACAGATCTTGCAGCAGCCAGCAGGTAAACAAGCACATCCTTGCTCTCGCTGGAAACAGGTTGCTTTTCAGCAAAGAACTGTTAAAATCCTGCCTCTCTCTGCAGGGCGAATCTGCTTTAAGATACAGCACAGAACAGCTTGCCTGTGTGTTTATCACACTGAGCCAAACACAAAGCAACACAAGCTGGAAGGAAGTTGTTTTATACTTACCAGCAGCATTGATATTTTCCTCACAGGAGTACCAGATCCCAGTGTGGAAATACCTGAAAAGGAAGCGGTCATCTCCCGTCTCCCAGCTGTAATGAACCACATTCTGGTTTGTCTCATTTGCCGTCTCATTCCCGCTGTAGTTGAGGCAGTTTGTCTTCTTCTCTTTCCCACAGCTTGGCTTGGGGACCCTCTGTGTGCCCTCACACCAGTGGGTCGTGATAAAAGCTGTTGTAGAGAAGAGGAGAGCCATCAGATTCAGACTCACTGCTAGCAGGGCTCTGCATCTTCGATTTGTCTTCATGGTAAATCCGCCCTCCCTCCCCCTCCTGCTGAGAGTAGAAGTCAAAGGGTTCTGTTTTATTTGGGAGGAGGGGGGTTCAAAGCCTCTCACGATTCAGAATCCAGTTTTCCAGGCATCAAAACTCTCAGCTTCTTCCAATCTGTTGTTGTAGCAGTGAAGGAAACGCTGCAGCCAGACTCCCATTCTTCTCTTCACTTGAAATCCTGCCTTTGTACGTTTAAAGGAGCAGCTGCAGGCGCGGGAGTGCGGCCGTCCTCTCGTAGTCGGTATGCTTCAGCGCGCTGACAGGATCAGAGAGGGTCTGTCTCACAAAGAGCACCAAGAGCAAGTGAACATCTGCTCGGGTACCACACATGATCCCAAGGGGCTCCGCAGCCTCCTCCACTGGGAGACACCTGCAGGCTGCGGGACTCACTGTCCTCTGCTCCCATAGGATGAGGCAGGAAAAACTCAGTGGGGGGCAGGCGGCAGGGACAGCTGCTGCCTGCTACCACCGTCCTCGGCAGACCTCGGGGACCACTGCATCGCACTGACGGCTGGGTTGGACTGGGGGAGGCGTCACATCTTAGTCCCAAAAAGAATCGCTATTTGGAGCTGCGAAATACATTTTTTATATACCAGAGGGTAGAGATTTGTCCATGAGGAGGAGGGATGGAGTGATACTTTAGCTTTTCTGCTTTGAGCTAGTGAGTAGTAAATCAGGGGGTTGATCCTGCTATCTGCATACCGGTGGAATTCTCTGTCTTCAGGGGCTTGCTCTGGAAGTCAGCAAAGCCCCAGGGGAATTTAGATTTGAAAGTATGTAATGAGTAAACCCTACATCTTTCACAATACCAAGTGGAGCCCCTTTCTCAGGCTTTCATTTCCAGACACAGCCCACGCAGATGTTCAGTTTGCAGTGGGTCTGTAGGACATTTTGTTGGTCCTGGTTTGTGCAGACGGAGAGAACTAATTAGAGCAAACCCTGGCCTTTACTCGCCAGATGGCAATGCTGTGAGAGCAGGGAGCACTGCATAATGCCCCATTTCCAAAGAGAAGTGTATTGTCCTGTCTTGTTGGTTGGCTGACTCGTAGAGTTTATGACCTCTTTCCACATTGCTCAGAGCTGTCTGGTGAATACTGAGTGTTGTGAGGAGACCAGGGCACCTGATGGTGGTGGTGGTACAATCTGGAAGACCTTGTATCCAAGCTCTGAGGTTGGCCACATTTGTCACACAACAGTTCTGTGTCCTCAGTAGATGAATGCAATTTTCTGTGGTGAAGAAGTTGCATATACCTCCTGGGCTTTGGACTGAGTGAGATTTCCTTCCAGCCTTGTTTGGACTCCCTGCAAGGGCCGTGGGGATGCTTGCGGCCTCTCAGAGCAGTCCAGCAGTGGGTTTCCAGCAAGCCCCGCAAATAACCATGCAGCCGCATGGGCTCGTACTAATAGATGGGACAACGCTCTCACCTCACACCCTGTACTCTGTCAAGTCAGCACATTGACTCAACATGCCAAGCTCATCCTATGCCTTACTGCCCACAGACATGAAATGTGGTGGTAGTTTCTCCAGCTCCTTGAATAAAGCCAGGACAAACCAGGTGGAGTTTCTCCTTAGCAAGACACCACACAAGACTTCAGGGACCTGTTCCTGCCTCCCTGATGTCACCCTCACAGGTAGCCATTGGACTCTGTATTATGCCTCTTGTTGGTGCCTGTCCTGCATGTCTGGTTCCAACTCTCTGAGAGATTTTCACTATTCATACAGAATCACGTGGCTTTAGCCATTTTGTTTTATAAATAAATTAGGAAGTTACTAGAAAATGCTGCTCTGTGAGAACAATTCTGATGGCAACTTTGCAAGGTTAGTGAAATAGCTTTGTACTGCAGATACTTCCCTACCTAAGTGGCCTTCATTTTGCCCACTCCTGCCTGTACATGATGACTACTACCTCCTCAGTGCCAGATTTTTCCAGTGGCCTGTGCTAGCGGAGTGTGCACAGTCTTCCTTGTCCTGTTGGAATTGCACCACACCTCTCTATGTTCCAGTCCTTTCAGCATTTCATCTTGCAGCCAAATAATCAGCATTATTTTGTTGGTTTTAATTGCATGCAAGAAATACAGATGATAGCTATTTAGAGGACCACAGGATTATTACTTCAATTATTTTTATGTTGCAGGACATTCCACTTAGAAATGCATTTGTACAATCCTGTGTTTCTCAGGCTTATCTGCCTGCTTAGAGGAATAAACAATGCAATTTAAACTTCACAAGAAAGCTAGCTCTCTTCTAGGATTATCTTTCAAGTGGCTGTCAGTATCTGAATCATCACAGTTTTCCAAGTGTGAATACAGGTCTTTACAGGTCTTTTCTCACAAATCTTCTCTATCCACTGCTCTGTGGCTTGTGTTTTCTGGTCCCAACTGCTGCACACTCTTGTTTCTCCCGGTGCCCATGTCCCTGAGGGATGGGCAATCTGAGAGTTTGGTTATCTGTGATAATTTTGTCCTAAATACTTTTGAGATTTTGGTTTTACTCCTAATCCTAATAGATATTTCTATTTCTGTTCCTCCTTATCTTCTCTATTCTTGTTTTTTTTGGGCTGACAGGGCTGTCAGGGCTTTGGACAGAACAGAGATGGTGGCAGTATATTAAAAAAAAAAGCAAAATAAAGCAGAAATTTGGTTTCTTTTGTGATAAAGAACTTCTAGAATCTTAAACATTTAAAACTATTCAGCGCAAAGTAAAGTATGCTCAAAGACAGGGAACTTTTTTTAACATGAATTGTTTTCTTTTTCCTAACAGATGTCAGTTTTTTTCTAATTATTGGACTCCTTTGGCTGTATATGTTGGGATTACTTGAAAAGAAGGAAACTAGTCTGTGCTATACTCATGCTGTAATGTTCCACTGATTTCTTTTTATGTAATCTCTGTTTATCAGATTTGTTGTGTATAAAAATGGAAAGATCATACATATGTTGCAGAAGGCAGTTCAGATCCCTGGATTAAGTTGTATTTATGTGGTATTACCTTTAATAGTAAAGCAGAAGGGTTTGAATGCTATAGAGAAGTAGTTTTCATATTGTGGCTACAAGAACCTTTAAAATCCTTTTTGCAGCAATAGCTTTTCTCTGATGTTGTGAGAAAAGCTACCTTCATGAGTTATAGCTAAATCCCTCTTCCTTTACTGTTTCTTATAGGATCAGTAATTACTCGAGTACAAAAAGAATTTGACCCAGAGGATTTAAAATAATAAGCATTTGGAACCTTTTCAATCAGGCTGTGTTTTTAACTAGTGGGAAACAGAAGCGAAATTCACTAAAATAAGAAGCCCTACTTATGGGTCCTCTGGTTATGATGGGGGGCATGGTGGGCTTAGTCTGGTTGTTTACTGGATACCAGCAGTGTCAGCTGCATGGGATTATATGCTGTTTTTAAATCAACATTTTAAAAATCCTACAGCTTTTCTTTAAGTTTGTCCTCCTGGGCTTCCTCATGTGTTTGTATTGTCTTTTTCAGCTGTCACTGGACTGGGCTTCCCAGTTCCTCCTTCCACCTTGGGCTGGACGCCTCCTGGTAGCTCATCTTTGCTTTTCCTCTGCACCGCAGAGCCACAGAATCCACTTGTTCAATTCATTCGTCTTGCAAATGGTACAAAAATCTCCTTTTCTAGTCAGAGTTTTCCTCTTTTGACAGAGAGATCTGCATAGCTCAACATTTTCTTGTCCTCTTACCATGGCAAATATGAATTGTAGGTGGGCCCCCAATATACTTCCCCTGTCCCCATTCTGTCCAGCAAAATGGCAACTTTTTCCTTACCTCAGCAAGTCAACAGGATTGACTTTTATATTTGGAGAAGAGGGTTAGGATGGAAATGCTCTACATGCTTCCCCCAGATCACTACCACATATGTTAGTCAACTATGTGTAGTTTGCCTTCTTTCCGTTCCATATCCAGGTGACCTTTTGCTGTTTTCACCTCATTTTTAATTTTTTTCTCAGAACTCTGACCCGAAGTAGTCTGTGTTCAGCAGCTTAGCACTCCGAGCCCACAGGCTGAGCTGTACAATCCTGTTCATCTAAGAGATGCTGCTGAGAGACATTACTGATTTTTTTACACAGATTAAGCCTTCAGCAAATGGACAGTCCCAGTAGGGTATATTTGAAGGTGGGCTGAATATTGATACCATATGAAATCTTCGTCTTCAGTTTAACTTTGGACTTGAAGTGTATCTTTCATGCACTTTGCTTGTGGGCATTGAGTCAAGCACAAGAAGATAGCTCAGGAAATTCTTCCTGTTCCTAAACTGACCAGGCAAAAAATGGTTTCTGACAGTACTGTAGCAAAGACCTTTAACAGTCTTGACAGAAAGGAAAGCAGTAAAACAAACTGTTGATTGCCCTGTATGTTTTTCCCATAATAATTTCCTTGGCCCAGCGTCACTGGTCAGTAGACAAGATGTTCTTAATTGCCATCTTCAGAGTAGTTGGTTTGGATACGGTAATCAGTTGTCAGTGTTGCTCATCCTTGCTTGGACACCAGGACTGAACCATTCAAAGACTGTAGGCACTCCTTCTCCTGATAACAAGTGGGGTCTCTGCAGCTCTCTGATTTGGAGTCTGTCCCAAACAGAGCTAGATTAATCATTCAGCACCGCTCTTTGTGTAAAAACTGTGTAGTCCATATATTTGTAATAGGACTGGGATGCTAACAAGTTTGTACTTATCTGGCGTCTGCATTTAATTCTTCCAGCAGCTGGTGGAGAGGAAGGGAGATGAAAAAAAATGACAGGCTGTCGCGAATGAGTGGTTTAGAGGCTGCTTAAAGAATCACCATCAAAGGTATTAGCAGAAAGTGATTTTAATAGAGATTTATAAAGGTGCGACCTAACAGAATTCGATGGCAAAGTTCACTCTATTACTTATTACACGGATGAAACATATAAAGGGAAATATCTCAGGGACTATATGTGTTTAGCAGCAGTCTAGCGTTCATTCACAGTTTAGCAACACTTAATTA